ATCAAGATAAGCATTTCTTTCTTGTAACTCATTTATATGCTCTTTACTTGAAGCTTTATCGTTTGGAAAAACCAGTAATCGACTTATTTTTGTTGCTACTTTGATAATGGACTCCAATTATTTTGTTGCTTTAGTATTGTTGTATCAGTTCTTTACGCTTAAATTTATTAAGCAATTTATGTGGTTAGGTAGCAGAAGGTTTATTAGTGTATAATTAGACAATGTATTAAACAATGTATCAAAATTATCTGATCAGACGTGTTGTATAGCGCTGTACAGTCAGAAAGTATCACCCGATTCAAATTTTATAGTAAAACATATAAAAAATTGAAAATTTCAGGCTATATACATATTTAAATTTCTTTTAATAACCATTTCTAAATTTTATATCATTTTAATCATTTTAAAGCCAATACAATATTCTTTGAAATATTGATGTTTGGGAAAGTTAAAATGCAAGAGCTATTTTATTTATAAGGTAAAAAAGTTTTTTTTTATATGTTTTAGATCCAAAAAATAAAATTTATATATAAAATTGAGCTGCATATATATTTATATTTCTTTTATTAATTATTTCTAAATTTTATATCACTATAAAGCCAATATAATATTCTTTAAAATAAAAATATTTGAACCTTGGGAAGGTTAAAATGAAAGAGCTGTTTTAATCTTAAAACTCAGTATTCATTTTTTATATGTAATTTACTATGTAATAGTGAATCGGGTGATACTTTCTGACGTGACTGTACGTCGGCATATACTTCCAAACACGAATAAAGGATTTCACTTGATAAAAAAAACTATCACTTTATAACTTAAATAAAAACTTTATTTATTCCTTAACATTACTACAAGAAAATTGACCTATATTTATAATAAATTATACATATACTAATAAATTCAACATGTTTAATATATCTATTATGTATAATATGACTAACATGTTGATCATGTCCAACATGTTAATTAGGTTCAACATGTTAATCATGTTAAACATTTGCAACATCGATCAATTTCGGGGTGACACATAATGATCACATGACAGTATCACTATATCACTAGCATTAAGCTCACCCACTTGTGTCCCGATTATTTGTAATAAGATGAACAGAAGATATTATTTTAATTCTGAATCGTGGATTTTAATATCTTTTTGCTCACGTTTCATTTTTTTGGAAGACGAAAGTTACTCTAATTTAAAATTGTCGTCGTCATTAATCCCCGTTTTTGAACGTTTTTGGTTATTGCATGGTAAACACTTGGAATTTCTTCAAGATGATGTTTAAATTGTTTAATCGACAATATCCTACTAGTACTGAAGAGGAAGGAAATTTTTTTAGGCAACTTACGCAAATTTCTGACGCACGTCTGAAATTTGTGGCACAGTTTACTTGGTCGTGTCTTTTTTTTTTATTTATTTTTTTCATTTTAGGAACATTGTTAACGTTCCTTTTCTTTATTTTATTATAAACAGCCTCTTGAACTTTTAATGGGCGAAATAGAGGTATTTGTTTTTATTTTTTACATTTTATTTTTGTTTTAAGAACGTTACTAACGTTACTAACTGAACGTTCCTTTTTCCTTATTTTTTTTTTTTTTTTTTAGGAACTGCCTCTAAAACTTTGAAATTGGATGAAATGATGGAGATATTTCTTTATTTTTTTACATTTTATTTTTGTTTTAGAAACATTACTAATGTGCTTTTTCTCTAGATCGTAATTTGTTCTTTAGTTTAAAAATTTATATCAATCAATAGATATTAAATATTTCTCTTAAACTTGTGTAATTTGTTAGCAATCTCATTAATTTTGAAAATAATTTATTTTAAATTACGACAAATAATTATATTTAAAATATAAACAATTTATTTTAACCTAAAATTTCTATCAATTTTTATTAAAATTTCGTATAATTTCAAAGTAAGTATAATTCAGCTTGGGAAACAACTTTACTTATACCATAAAAGATGGGTTGATTAATAAAAAAATTGTACCAATTTATAGGTGATCAGACACTTTTTTCGGGTTGCGGTACATTTCGCCGAAGCTATTTCACCAAAGGGATAGATATTTCATCGAAGGGACGTTTCACCGAAAGTGCATTTTATCGAATCAATTTCACCGAATCGTCCATTTCGCCAAACGGACATTTCGCCGAAAATGGTAGCGATTAACACTTTAATTAAAACAGTTCATGTTTAAAGAAGAGTTAGGACTATAAAATGTAAAATATATGAAATGTGATTTATTTTGAACTTGTTCATTTCTAATAAAATCATGATATTCGAATTTATAATAAATGTTTTTTAACCATAATTGGGTTAATAAATTTATAAATTAAATTGATAATTGAAAAATTTACAATAATTTATTATCTTTAATACACGCCAAAAGAATGAGGAAAAGAAAAACAATTAAGAAAAAATTATCATTAAATAGATTATGAAGGGAAAAAAAAATTTTTTAAAAAAATCAGTTTGAAAAAAGATCAAAAAATATATATATATATAATATTAAAAAAATCAAGTTTGAAAAAAAAAAAATGGAAAAAAATATTTAATAATATTAAAGCATTACTTGTAAATGAATTTAATAATATTAGATATACTTTTAATAGTTACTCGGCACTTCGTGCCGTGCCGAGTAACTGTTGTATTTGCAATAAGCAATATGATTGGTGGGATTTACTGAGCGCAGCTCAGCAAATTATATTCGTAACTGTTTTATCAGGCTTATGTAATAGGTATTTTTTATACAACTTAGTAAACTTAGTAACTGGTTGTACTAACATAAATCACCAATTAGTAAATGCCCTAATAAAATTTATTCGTTTCCATTGATGTTTGGCCTAAAATAATATAAAAAATTTAAGTGTGTACTGTAACGATTTATACTGTAAATAAAATTTTAATTCCGGCCGGCATTAAAGCTCGGCCAGAATTAACTTCGTGTAACCTAGAAACTTTTTTGGTTACAAGGTGGTACAAAACTTGTACCAATCAATAGGGAATACACGCGCTTAAGCGAAACTATTTCTAATGGTTAAAAGTGGTCAATTTGACTTAGAAAGTGGTCGATTTGGCCTATTTAATGAAAATTCATGATTATTAGCTACTTCAAGGCCAAATTGACCATTTTTAAGATCAAATTTACTAGCCAGAATTAACCAGTGACAATGATGTAAATATTAAAGGAATAAAAAAAATTCGATTTTCCGTAAAAACCCTGATTATCCAAATTGTGACATGATTTTTATGGTAATAATATCGATTAAAATCGATTGATCGAAACCGAAAATCGAATTTTTTAAATCGAATCTTGAGATTCGATTAATCGCGATTAGTCGATTTTCTCAAAATTAGAATCGATATCTGCATCTGACTCACGTCATCTGTCACCTGACGCAAATCTAATTTTTTTTTTTGTGCACTTTTCAAATGGGGCTCAATTAAAATTTTTTTGATATTAATATTTCCATTTAAATTTCTATTTACGAAATTTTTTTTTTTTTTTTTTTTTTTTTTTGTACAAGATTAAATTAAGAGATCTCAATCAAATTAATTTTGATACACAAGAACGCCCTGGTCGCCTCGCATCAAATAATATTCATGCAAAGCAATGATTTTTTTGATTTATTAGGATAAGTGCATGCATATTTGTCTGAATGAAAAATACAAAATCCGTTCTTATTATTATTCTCATTATCTAATGCTATCGAAATCATTGACCATTTTAAAATAAGATTTTTTCCGTTTATACAATACCAAATAATGTTTAATTGCTGCCATCCCAAAATTTATTGGTCGAAATTGTATCCTTATTTAACGTTAACTGTTAATATTAAAATTTTTATTAAAATTTTATAAAATACGCACCTTGTCGATCAAATATTTGAACAGCAGACCAAAAAAAATTTTTATTTTTATTAATAACCGGTTAGTTTACCGTTTAAGACTTTAGTTAATTGTAAAGGTTTCATTTTATTTTAGTACGATATTCTATAAACATCACAATTATTACTGTAAATTCTATTGCTAATTCTGGGAACAAAAAATAATTAATTACAGAAAATTACTGGTACAGTTCGATATATTAAAAAATGCAATATCTATGTTCACTGTTTGTATATCGAATTCGGTTCGGTTTTGAGCTATAATTACTTTAATTATTTTTAGTCTATTTTTTAGTTTTATTGTTCTAGTTTAGATTTGTGCATGATTAATATTTAATAGCTATAAAATACACTTCGACCGGATTATTTAATGGTAGTCGGTTGAAGAACTATTTTATTTAATGTGTAAATAAGTAAAAGTTCATAAAATTGTATCACCCTTTAATTTAACAAATCCGGCCTTTTTATTATTATTATTATTATTATTTTATACTCCTTAAACAAATTTTTTAAATTCAAATTCTTATTTTCAAAACCTCTTATTGTGTACTTCTTTTTAACATCGTATCGGGTCAACTGATATTTGAGTACCTATTTCAGTATTTAACTGAATTTGGGAGACCCAAATTATCAGAAAACCTGTTTGATACGTTCGGTTTTCAGCCTCCTGTTTAAGACAAAAATCACATGTGATTATCTTTCTTTTTATAGTCGAAAGAATGAATTTAATCTGCAGAATATGTAATGATAAAAAAAAAAAAAATTCGTAAGCGAATATGCATACGAAATTTCTTTAATATATATGTAATGAAAAAAAAAAAAATTCGTAATTTTGGATGTTATTGGAAATTTACAATTACTTTGATAAATGTAATGATAAAAAAGTTCGCAGTTTAGATGCATATATTCGTTATTGGAAATCTACAATCATTTTAATCTGCTGATATATTTATTCATTATTTAATTTTTACAATTAATATACTGTATATGTATATATAGTTTTCATGTGAAACAAGATTTTAAATGCTACGCAATTAATAATAAAAAGAGCCTGAAAAATTTTTTCAAAAATTAACAATTTCTTGTTATTTATTAAATTTATATTAATCATGAGTGACGAGCCACGACCGTTTCATGTATTCCGTTTCTTTTTATACTTGTTAATTATTATCGCATATCTTTTCTACTCATCTTATTTGATATATAACATCGTAAATGATAAGCCAAACTTAAAAGTTGACCAAATCTTTTTGAATGAAATTGACGTCCCTGGTAGGATTTTACTTTTAATAAATTAAAATATTAAACTATTGAACCATTACGCTAAGCAGACGCCTTTTACTTATAATAGATATAGTAATATGTGGGGCATCCCCAGAATTAAGAATTTTACGATGTGACTTAATAGCAAATAATGACGAGAAAACCCCAATTGATGGCTGTAATAGCTATTTACCTCCTAATGTAATCGATTATGATATCTATAGAGATCATTGCCTCACCTTCAAAGCTAATAAAACCATCAAATTTGTCAAACCAAACAGTGGCATAGATGGTTTGCAAAAGATTGGCTTTTATTTCTATGATAATACGACCGCTGCAGAAATGAACACTCTTGGCATAGCTTCACTTACCATACAATTAACTCCTCCCGGTAAGTAATAATCGCTCGAAAATCACATTTAGTTTGACCTTTTGATAATTAAAATTTTATTTGTTTTGAAATAGATTTCGATTTTAATTCATTGACAAATATGAACAAGGCTATTAGTCAAATGGACAAGGCTACTCTTTCAGAGTTTAAGCTTCAATTGAACTTTATTGCCGGAATGGTCAATTATGCTGCAGTGGTAAGATATTTCACATATTTAATTATTTAGTTAACGTCATATTTATTAATTTTTTGTTATATTTCTTCAAGGTGAAGTTTAAAACGAGTACTTATAGGTCTATTCTTCCGAGGGATGCTCGTGCTATTTTTGGATTAGATCCAAATTACCACGTGACGTCAAAAATAGAAAATTTTATCAACTATTTTCCTTTTAATAATAATCCGCATGATATACCAGTAGGAACAACTGGTTATTTTTCTATAGCTGCTGGAAGCTTTATTCAAGAACAGACAAGCGAAGAACGGTAAGTTTAATTGTTAATAAAGTCGACTCCCTATATAACCACACCCTTTGGGACCGAAAAAAAAAACGGTATGATTATAAAAATATTGTATGATGTGACCAAAGAGGAGATTTTTTAATAAGTTTGTTAGTAACCTAAGCTAATATAATTATGCTTATAAAAGGATGTGACTACATATAGGGTGACTATAGAGGGGTCGACTCGTATTCTTAGTTATGATAATTACGAACATTACATTAACATCTAATTTTTGAACCCTATATAGATCAAATACCATTCTTAGTGCGATCGCAGCAGCTGGTGGCGCTTTTGGTTAGTAACTTTAATAAATTAATCATTAATAAACCTGAATTATAGTTTTAAATTATCTTCTTTTAAATAATCATTAGGCACTATCATGGCGGGTATTATAGTATTTTGTTTTGGTGATTCACGTTTAAATCCATTGGGCTTTTTACGTAATTCTCTTAATATCAGTCAAGATTCCAAAGAATTCTATGAACGTAGTAGATTTTATTCGAAACCTGAATTAAAATTTTCAAAAATTAACGACGAAGACAAGGCATTAGTACTTGTAAATGAATTTAATAATATTAGATATACAATTTATTACCATCTTTAAATCAAAGTAATATTGAAAAAATGGACAAAAATCGGAGTTGGCTTAAAAATAGGCTTGAAAATAAGCTTAAAAATAAATTCATCAAATTTTATCACTGGCTAATGAATGTGGAAAATATTGAGAAAATATTTCATGTATATGAAAAAGATAGAGAATACTATAAATTTTCAAGTATAAATGAAGATGATGGGAGATTGCTTAACAATGAAATTAACAAAATTAGATATGTTATTGATGTATACTTGTATGATACTAAATCAAAAGATCAGAAAAAATTAGCTGAATATAAATATGAACGAGAATTAAAATTTTCAGACGATACGAAAAACGAAGATAAAGAATTGCAAATAATAAATGAAGATGATCAGAAATTGCTTAATGCTGAATTTCGTAAAATTAGAAAGTTGGTTGACAAACATTTGTTAGGTAAACCAGATATTGAGGAAATATTCGATGTATACAATTTTCTTAAAAATAATAATTTTTCAAATGATATAAAGAGTATGGACGAAGGAGATACTCTTCAAAATAAAGATTTTTCAGAAGATATGGTCAAAGATAAGAAATTACTTAACGATGTATTTCAACAAATCAGTTATGTGATTTTTCGTCACCTATTAGATATACCAGAAGATGAAAAAATATTCAATAAATATAAGGAAAATGTTCAAATATCAAGTTTTTCAACTAGTATGAACAATGGTGATAAGAAGTTGCTTGTAGATGAATTTGAATGAATCAATCCTGTCTCTTATACACATCTAGATGTGTATAAGAGAAAACTCTAGAAGTATTTGAAAAATATATAGAAGAACGAGAATTAAATTTTTCAAATAATATGAGTGAAAAAGATAAGAAATTACTTAACGATAAGTTTTGCGAAATCAGAAAAACAATTGATAATTTCTTGTTAAATGAACCAAGAATTCAGACAAAAGAAACCTTTTCAGAGAAAATGGATAGCAAAGATAAGGAATTACTTATGTCTTATATCAATAATTTCGATAACAAAATTCATAATATTAGAAATGATATTGATAACTACATATTAAATAAGGTGTAGTTGTATAATATATAATATAGTTTAATGTATAATGCTGTAATATTATTTTTGTATTCATATACATATACTGTATATATAAATAAGATTTTAATCCTTTATACTCATGAAAAATAAATCATTTTTTCTTAATTGTATCATGCATTTATTTTTTTATTTGGAAAAATGAAACCGTCGCACTACGTCATTTATCACATATATTACATATGTTAAATTTTACAGGTAAAATATATCTTTGACGTTTAGATTACCCTCCTGCATAGCTACTATTTGAGTCATGTGTACGTTCCAATTCCGGTTAATGAAATTATGATATCATCGTTTTCGGTCATTGGGACGATGCGACCGATACGTTAAATTTCTTTTTCAGGGGTTTAAAAAATTTTTTACTTTCATTTTTTTTTTCACTCATCTTTTTCGATTTGTCATTTTTTTTAATTGCGGAACCATCTTCGTTTTTATTAAAAACGTTTAATAAAAAGAATTTGAAGATCAATGATGAAATAATTTAATTTTATATCTTGTGTCAATCAAAATAACATGCCGGCCTCAAGTAATCTGAAAAAAGTTAGACTGGAAAATTATTTTCGGTTTATTTATTTAATAATTTTATTAAAATATAATAAAAATAGAAAAAAATTTTTTTTATGTGATTCATACTTTAAAATTACGATATGCAGAAATTTTCCTCGCCAACTCATTCAATTAGTAATTAAATAATATCATTAGCTAAGTCTATTTGGTTCATGCTAATGTTGATGCTAAATATCAAATATCAAAATTTATTGTAATTATATAGATTATAACGATAATGTTACATTCAACTCAATATTTCAGGATATACATAATTCATATTTCTTGTAAAAGGAACTTTGCTTATTTTAAAGGTGACGAGTGTAGGATGTTGATATCAGTCCAAGATCGACTGATTAATTACAAGTATTTTAGTGTTCTATACCAATACATTGGTTTATTCTCTTTTTTTTACTATTTTATTAAAATAAAACAAACATTTAATATATAAAATATTTTCCTACTTATATTTCAAGTAAAAAAAAAAATGAGAAACGTCCAAACTCCAAAGTCAAAATCAAGATTCAAGTCTAAAAGAGAATAAGATCATCATTTTTAACATTTTCATATGACAATAGTTTATCCATTGTAATATTGTATTATCCTTTTTTTAATCAGCAACTGAGAGAAAATGAAATTTTTTTATAATAATTATGTAAGCTAAAGTTCCTTTTCCTCACTAGCAGTATATGCATAAAGCATGTTACAAGAATCTTGCAAAAATTTAAACCAAATTTAGTAATCAAGAATTTTTTTATCTGGGTTAAATAAACTATTTACAGAAGGATCTGGCACATCGTGATAACTAACATGCTAGATAACTTGCTTAACGATGAATTTTGCAAATTAGAAAAGTGTATAAATAATAATTTAAAGGAAATTTATGTATCTATACAATATCTAAATTGTAGTTATCAAACTCTTTTATATATTAGTTAAATTATCTCTAAACTATTAAATATTTGGTTTGATGATCCATAAATCACTCTATCTTTAATTGAAAAGCCACCAAAAATATATATATTTTTGAATATCATGCTTTATTTTATTTATGGTATCACAATGGATTCATTCATGATGCTAAAAAGAATCCAAGATTTCATTTTCAAGTGTCGATCCGAGCGTTCTGCATCTTGATGCACAATTTACCGTTGTAACACCAACAATTTTATAATTAAAAATTCTACCCACGTGACCGGTGACATTTAATGGGATGTGAAAAAAACAATTTTGGGAGGCAAAAAAATTGTCCCTCAGATTCAATAAATATAAACGCGGTGGGGTGTAATGTCGGTGACGAACATTTTTAGGTCACGTGAGGTAGAAATTTGTTGGTGTTACTGGAGAAGATCTGATGCACATCAGCTGTCACCTGACGCAAATCGACAATACATACAGTATTATATATATTGTTTTGTTTTGTTTTCCTTAAATAATAATGATAATAAGAAATTTTTTTTTTTTGTGCTACTTTTCACACTGGACTCAATTTTCTATTTAGATTTCTATTTACAAAATTTTTTTTTTTTTTTTGTATTAAAATTAAATTAGGAGATCTCAATCAAATAAATTTTGATACACAAGAACTCCCCATAATAATTAATAAAAAACTTTAACATGATTAGATGTTCATTTGGTTCAAAATTTTTATTCATACAAAGCAAATATTTGTTTTGATTTATTTGGACAAGTGCATGCATATTTGTCTGATATGAAAAATACAAAATTCGTTCTTATTGTTTGTTTATTCTATCGAAGTCGTAAGCTATTTTAAAATAAGATTATTTCTGTTTATATAGCATCAAATAATATAAATTTGTAAAATACGCACCTTGTCGATCATAAGAACAAAATAACCTTTAATAACCTGCTATTTTACCATTTTAAATTGTTATATTTTAGTACATTACACTTAATTGTTCAAAATTATCAAAACCTAATATTATTATGATTTTTGGCGTGTTTTATGCTCTTATTGGTTAATTTAAACCACGTGACTAATCTCAATATCATAAATTGTATGGACAGAAAATTTCTGGTACTGTTCAAATATAATATCCATGTTCCTAGTTTGTGTATCAATTGGGTATGCAATTCGGTTCGATTTTGGACTTTTAATTGAAAAAATACAGTTTTAAAACTGAAAATATCCATAACTCAACTAACTCCAAAAATTGGTTGAACTATAAAAAACATTTTGGCTGGATTATTTAATGGTAGTCGGTTGAATATGTGTAAATATGTAAAAATTCATAAAAATTGGATCATCTTTAAATTTAACAAATTTTGTTTTGCCTTTTATTATTATTATTATTATTACTATTTTATTTTCAAAACCTTTTAACATGGCACAAGGTCGATTGTACCCAGTTGCACCCGTTTTAAATGCAGTAATCTGAATTTGGGAGACCCAAATTATCGGAAACCCCGTTTGATACATTGGTTTCAGCCTCCTGTTTAAGACAAAAATCACATGTTATCAGTTTTCTTTTTATAGTCAAAAAAACGAGCTTAATTTGCAAGATATGTGTGTGTAACAATAAAAAAAAAAATTCGTAATTTTGGACGTTATTGGAAATTTACAATCACTTTATCTTGTGAATGCTTCAAAACTACGAATTTTTTTTTTTATTATACATACATATATCTTGCAGATTAAGCTCGTTCTTTTGACTATAAAAAGAAAACTGACAACATGAGATTTTTTGTCCTGACGTTATTGGAAATTTACAATCACTAATATCAAAAAAAAAGAAAAATTCTATGAGATGCTATTTAGTTTTTACAATCACTTTTTCTTGTGAAACAAGATTTTAAATGCTACGCAATTTATAATAAAAAGGACCTGAAATTTTTTTTTTCAAAAATTAACAGTCTCTTGTTGTTTGTTAAACTTATATTAATTATGAGAAGGATATTCGCGTTTCTTTCAATCCGTTTCATTTTATACGTTTCAACTTTTGGATTATATCCTTTATACTCATGCTACTTAATATATAACATCGTAAAAGATAAGTCAAACTTAAAAGTTGACCAAATCTTTTTGAATGAAATTGACGTCCCTGGTAAGATCTTACTTTCAATAAATTAAAATATTAAAATATTGAACAGTTACGCTAAGCAGACGCTTTTTAATTATAATAGATATAGCAATATGTGGAACCCGAGAATTGAAAATTTTACGCTGTGACCTTATAACAAATAATGTCGAGAATAGCCAACTTAATGGCTGTAATAACTATGTACTTCCTGATGTAGTCGATTATGATATCTATAGAGAACATTGTCTCACCTTCAAAGCTAATAAAACCATCAAATTTACCAAACCAGACATAGGTGGTTTGAACAAGATTGGTTTCTATTTCTATGATAACACGACTGCTACAGAGGCAAACACTATTGGCATAGCATCACTTACCATACTAGTAATTCCTTCTGGTAAGTAATAATCGCACGGGAAATTATATTTGATTTGATCTTTGCTAATTAAAACTAATTTTTTTTTTAAAAAATAGATTTTAATCCAATGACAAATTCGAACAAGGCTATTAGCCAAATGGACAAAGCTACTTTGTCAGAGTTGAAGCTTCAATTAAACTTTATTGCCGGGATGGCCAGATATGCTGCTGTGGTAAGATATTTCACATATTTAATTATTTAGTTCACGTCATATTTAATAATTTTATTGTTATGCATTTTCAAGGTCAAGTTTAAAACGAGTACTTATAGGTCCATTCTTTCGGGTGATGTTAGTGCTATTCTTGGATTTCGTCCCAATTACCACGTGACGTCAAAAATAGAAAATTTTATCAACTATTTTCCTTTTAATAATAATCCGTATAATATGCCAGAAGGAACAACTGGTTATTTTTCTGTAGCCGCTGGAAGCTTTATTCAAGAACAGATAAGCGAAGAACGGTAAATTAATTGTTAATACTCTCAGTTATGATAATTATGAACATTACATTAACATTTAATTTATAATCTCTATATAGATCAAATACTATTTATAGTGCGATTTCAGCAGCCGGTGGCGCTTTTGGTTAGTAACTTTAATTGCTTGATAATTTAAAACTATAAACCGAGTTGTATTAATGATTTTCTTTTAAATAATCATTAGGCATTTTGGGGGTGTTATGTCATATAGTCTGTATAGTCTCATTTCAACAAGATCTTATCCGAAATCTGAATTAAAATTTTCAAAAATTAACAGCAAAGATAAGAAATTACTTGTAAATGAATTTAATAATATTAGATATACAATTTATTACCATCTATTAAATCAAAGTAATATTTACAAAATGAACAAAGATCGGAGTTGGCTTAAAAATAGGCTTGAAAATAAGCTTAAAAATAAATTCATCAAGTTTTATCACTGGCTATTGAATGTGGAAAATATTGAGGAAATATTTCATGTATATGAAAAAGATAGAGAATACTATAAATTTTCAAGTATAAATGAAGAAGATGAGAGATTGCTTAACAATGAAATTAACAAAATGAGATATGTTATTGATGTATACTTGTATGATACTAAATCAAAAGATCAGAAAAAATTGGCTGCATATAAATATGAACGAGAATTAAAATTTTCAGACGATTTGAAAAACGAAGATAACGAATTGCAAATAATAAATGAAAAAGATCAGGGATTGCTTAATGCTGAATTTCGCAAAATTAGAAAGTTGATTGACAAACATTTGTTAGGTAAACCAGATATTGAGGAAATATTCGATGCATACAATTATCTTCAAAATAATGATTTTTCAGAAGATATGGATGAAGATAAGAAATTACTTAACAATGTATTTCAACAAATTAGTTATGTGATTTTTCGTCACCTATTAGATATACCAGAAGATGAAGAAATATTCAATAAATATAAGGAAAATGTTCAAATATCGAGTTTTTCAACTAATATGAACAATGGTGATAAGAAGTTGCTTGTAGATGAATTTGATAGAATTAAACATATAATTAATAGTCACCTGTTTAATGGACGAAAAACTCTAGAAGTATTTGAAAAATATATAGAAGAACGAGAATTAAAGTTTCAAATAATATGAGTGAAAAAGATAAGAAATTACTTAACGATAAGTTTCGCGAAATCAGAAAAACAATTAATAATTTCTTGTTAAATGAACCAAGAATTCAGACAAATGTAAACTTTTCAGAGAAAATGGATAGCAAGGATAAGGAATTACTTACATCTTATATCAATGAAATTCGCAAGATTAGACATGATGTTGATAAATACATATTAAATAAGGTGTAGCTGTATAATATATATATATATATATACTGTAAATTTATATATAATAATATTATTTTTGTAATTCATATACATATATTTTCTTGAAAAAAGTGAACCGTCGTACTGATATTTTTTTTTAAAACTAAGGTACAAATAATTACTATTGCATAAATATCTATGATATTTTGATGTATTACGTCATTTAAATTAAATATCACATATATTAAATTTTACAGGTAATTGGGGTCATGTGTACGTTCCAATGCGTTAAATTTCTTTTCAGGGGTTTAAAAAATTTTTTTACTTTTCATTTTTATAAAATTAAACACGTAATCAATAGCACCCTGTTTAATCAAAAAATCAAGTAATATATAAAAAATATAAATGAATAGATCATATGATTTTAATATTACTAACTAATCGAAAATTAAAGTTTTCACATAAAATGAATGATTACATATTATATAAGGTATAGCTGTATAGTGTATAATATTATAATAATACTTTTATTTATATATATGTAAATAAGATTTAATCTTTTATACTCATGAATAATAAAACATTTTTCTTGATATTTAATTGTATCATACGTTTATTTTTTCACACATTCTTTTGAAAAAAATAGTGGAAATGTCCAAAATATGCAGAAAATGCAAAGAAAATTTTTTAATATTGCTCTAACGCATAATACCTAATTATTATGCAGCCAAATTGATCATGATGTAATTGCTGTTTTTAACATACTGATACTTTATCTTTAACGCATTACGTCATTTAGATAAATATCGCATATACAGGTAAATACTATATGTTAATTAAATAGCTTATTGAGTTTATTTATATGAAACAATTGAAACATGATCTATTGAAATATCACCGAACTGCTCCGCAGTTCGGATGATATTTTAACCACCATACCCAATAACTGTTATTTATTTACGGTAATACAACGCAAATAATTATTTAAATCAAAGTGTTTTAGGATTGACTTTTTGATAAAATATATTTTTTGGAAAGTTCCATGTGTTGTGCTAAAATCCATTAATTCCTTTTTTTAAATACGATATACGAAAATTTATTATGTCGCACATAAATAATGTATTTAGCTTTTGTACATTTTTTCTGTGCACTTTAATTGTTATTACCTTTATTATTAACAGATAATATAATACTCAATTCTCATTTGAAAAATTCTTGCAGAGATTCTAAGTATGAGGGAATACTGACTTAAAATAACTTAAAATATTAGACTAATCATAATTTTAAAAGTACTGATATAACGTAAATTTCTAGAAAAAAATGATGTATTTGGAAATTTGATTTTTTATTAGTATATAAATCGAAAAAAAATATGAAATTAGAATTTTTTTTTTTGATTCAATTATAACGTATTTGACAGCATCAACATAAGCAACGGAACACTAAAAATCATTTAAAATATTCCCTTTATTTAACTCCAAAATAGCGTGAACAATACTTTTCTAAATATGGTAATTGTTCAAAGTTAAATTGATGGCGAGAATTGTCAATATTGTCAATAATAAACAATAAATAAACAATATGAATGAAGTAATTTCAAATCGGTGAAGTATTTCTCCGATTATTCGGAAAAAACTAAAAATGCTATTTACTAATTTTAGTAATTTATTCATTTTTTTTTTTTTAAGGTTCATTCTTTTGAACATTCCATCTTAATTTAATTAATTCATTTAAACAATGATTCTTTGATCAACTTTCAAATTTTTTTTTTTTGTGTACACATACTGCGTAAATTACGTAACTATGTATTAACAGTTACACAGTTACACGAGTAAATAAATACTAATTTGGGGATTTTAATATTTATTTTAACTCCTTTTTCGTTCTTATTATTTAAAACATATAACAATATAACGCCCACGCAAAAAAAAAAATAACTTTTTTCTACAACGTAAAAAAAAAAAAAAGAAAAAAAAAATGGATATGAATAAAAATAATGAAACTAAAGAAGTTTCAACAGAAACTGAATTTAATAAATTAAATATTGACAATATCGACAATATCGACAAAAAAAATTGTTCTTATTGTGATAAACCATTTAACGAAAAATTATGGTGTAAAGAATGTGATCCTCGTCATAAAATAGAAGGTTGGACTAGTGGAAATAATGATATTGATAAATTTATTAAGGATACAATTTATGACGCAAGAAAATTTAATTTTAATAGTTTTGTTGAATGGATACCTTTTGATAGATTTGAAAATGTAGAACAAATTGGTGATGAATATTCCAAAATATATTCTGCGACATGGAATGATGGTCAAGCAATTTATACTATACAAGATGATGGAAGTTGGAGAAAATTGGATCCTAAACCCATGAAAGTTGCTTTAAAAAGGTTAAACGGATCGGAAACTATTACAGATGAAAATTTAAATGAGGTAATATAATAATTTATATAAAATTTTTTATTATACGACAGAAAAAAAAAAAATATTTAATATATTACTTTATTTTATAATAGATTAAAATGCATTGGGAACTTTATTCAAGGAATAATTCATTCTTAGAATTTTATGGAATATCAAAGGATCCAGAAACTAAAGAATTTTTTGTGGTTATACAATTTGCAAATCAAAGAAATTTGAGATATGTTCTTTCAAATCATTTTAGCACAATTTCATGGAAAGAAAAGATTAATTATTTATATGGATTAGCAATTGATCTTAAAAATTTACATGAATTTGGTTATTATCATAAAAATGTTCATAGCGGAAATATATTACAAGATGATGGTGATTCTTATTTATCAAATTTTGAATATTCTGAACCATCAAATAAGCAAGAATCAGATAATAAAATTTGTGGTGTATTATCTTATATTGCTCCAGAAGTTTTAATTGGTGAATCTTATACATTATCTTCAGATATTTATAGTTTTGGCGTAATTATGGCAGAAATATCATCTGGTAAACCACCTTTTTATAAAAGAAGACATGATGCTAACTTAGCATCAGAAATATGTAATGGAATCAGACCAGAATTTGGAAGAGGAACTCCTGAAGTTTATAAAAAATTAGCTTATAAATGTATGAATGCAAATTCAAATCAAAGACCAACAGCTAATGAATTACATGAATTATTATATTTTTGGAGGGATTCTATTAATTTTTATGATAAAAAATATCCAGTAGTAGAAAAATTCGGTTATAAAGAAAAAGAAATTAATTCCATATTTAAACAAGCTAATAGTGTAAAATTAACTAACACAAATGCATATGAGAAAGTTCCTGATGTTTTATATAATAGTAGAGTTTTTACGTTTAATAATTTACCAAAACCTATTAATTCATCTATTATTATTACATATTTAAATGATGATGAAAATAAAGGTATTTTATATATTTTAAGTTTATTAATTAAAATTATTAATATTAATTTTATTTATTTTTTTATTTATTTATAGATTAAGATCCTCTGGAGGTTCTACACGTCACCGCTAATACATTTAGACATAATTTACTTAAAGTTATAAGCTTTCATCGCAATATATTTAATAAATTTTATATAAATTTCATAATTAAATTTTACTTGATAAAAAATATTTGCAATATGTTAATTCTTGAAAACTTTACACATGTCAAATCAATAATATTTAATAAAAGGACCTCGTAAATACGTAAGACTATTGGAGGTCTGAAGCGTGCAAATTTAACAATAGTAATTAAATGATGGCGTCATAAAATATCACTAGTACAATAACGTTATAGATAATTTCGTAAAAAATATGCAAGATATCACTATTTGTATATACCAACACGTGACGCAAAAAGATTTAAAATAATCAAAATTTACCAAACTGTAACAATCTAACAATCGTCCTTCCTCAGATAAAAATATATTTTAACATATTCGTTCTTTCTTCAATTGTTGATTATGCAATCAAAGATATATTTACATTACGAAAGGAAATCTATATCAAATTGCCAATGAATTTTTATAGAAATAAAAGCCACGTCGTAGAACTTCCCATCATAAATTACCATTTACAACTTGATTTTTATAATAAGATATTTTTTAACATTAAAAGTTATCTATTATTTTTAAACTATTCTTTCTTAAATCATTTGATAATCAAACATCAACTTTCTCGATTTTTTAATGAAACCAATAGTGGATCATCCTTCGGAGGTATTTATGTAATGATTTAGGGTACAATTAAATTAATATATTTCAAGAGCTCGTATTAAAAAAAAGATATAGGAGACAAAAATAAAGATTAACATAAATTTTACTAATGAAGTACGACAATTAATTGTCAATTTTTTCAAAAAACATTATTCGATTATCGCCGTTTTCAATTTGGTTGAAACTGCGGCTTGTCGATCAATTATAATAAAAAGACCGAAAACTCGTAATTTTGTGAAACTGTACTAATGAAGCATCACGTTTCACATATGAACATATAAAATATTTTGATTGACGCATTATGCTAAGCCACTCCTATATTACTTTTATAATTTTTTTTTTATTTTCGTAATGTTTCAATGGGAGATTACTAGCGATTCAACTCTAAGTATAATGGAAGTATAACAGCAGTTCCTCACCGAAAACTGCAACTTCATACTAAGTATTATATTATTATTTTTTATTTAACTGAAGTATTTAACTGAAAATACTTATTAATAATAACAAAACTTTTTTTATATGCAGCCAGATACCATGTATTTTTAAATGTTTATAACTATAGATAAATGCGTTGGGTATTTGTGTTAGAGCAATTTTTGGATTATAATTAGAAAAAGATTTATTTCTTTTTTCAAAATTAAAGAATCATTTGAATTACAGAACACTAAGATTTTGACTTTTTTTTTAAAAAATATCGTCACAATTACAGTATATAAACGTTGTAATATTTCAATTATCTGTGAATAATTTTTTATTTAAAATAGTAATTATTATTTTTAAATGGTTGGTGAAATTTTCTAATTATTGTAAAGTTGTAAAAGGCATAATAATAAATTTTTTTTTTAACTTTTGAACGTTTACGCGAAAATAATTATTTTACTTAGTAAATTATTATGTGTTTTCATTGGCTGATCATTGTTGATCAACATGTGATGTAAGTGTTTTCGTATTTTATTATTTTTATTTATAATTTGATCAGTTTCAACTAAATCGAAAATAGCGATAAAATAAAATATAATAAAAAAAAATAAACACGTTTAAAAAAAATTATGAATCCCTAATATCTTATTGTTATCTCTAAGAATCTTTGTATTCTTTTCTTTTTTTTAAAATTTTTTTTTAAAAAGATATACAGTAAATTACATGATAAAAAATTCTATTTTCAATAAATTGATCTGGATTTTTATTTTTAAGAAAAAAATTATTTATTATACTGTACATCTTTGTGACTAATGAATCATAAATTCATTAGCACTAAATAACATGAACTTGTTTTGCGATTAATATATTAGTATATTACGGAATTGTTTAAAAAAATACATATAAATACATTGAAAAAAATTCTGTTGAAAGTTTATATTCTTTCGTAAAACAAATGACTGTTTTCTTATTCTTTTGCGAAACAAACTTACTAATTAAAACAAATCACAAAAAAAAATGGATAATGCCACATATGCCATTGATTGATGTCTTAATATCGGATATCAAATCAATCGATTTACACGAGAAAATATCAGAAATACTTTGTATTAAGTACCTTTCAACTGCTGCCGAAAGAATCAGATGACATTGAAGAAATAATATTTGGTGATTTTCAGAGACTTATCGGTGCAAAGATTATGAAAATAAGAGGAAAGGTTAAAAACATAAGTTTCCTTCATCGAAACGGGATCACCAAAAACTTTTATATATGTGAAGAGGTGTTGAATTCGATATAACCCTATTTATTGCTGATTAAAAAAAAATTTTTTATACTTGAAAATAAAAACATAAACAACGCGAAATCTAATGGTTTTTTTTAAGATTCTAATGGGTTTTTGGTATAGGTGACAATTTCACGCTATTTACATATTAAATATAGTTAGAAACTATTTTATCACATCTGGTAAAAGAGCACCATCTGATGCTGATTTTCCATTTCAATTAGTACATCATGAATTTCCAGTTCGCTTTAGCATTTGTTATGATAACCAACAGCAGATGCAAGCGATAAAAATTTTATAATTGACTTTAAAATTAGGTGAATTATATTATTCAAAATATGAGATAGTGGGGAAACTTTTATAAATTTTTTAACTCTTTTTATCATTAAAGATTTTTACTTTAGTATCATTAGAATCTTCTTTGTTAAAAATATTAAACAATAAGTTACAAAAAATAAAATATTTTTTTTTTTTAAAAAAAAAATAAATAAATATTAAAATTTAAAACCACAAAATAAATTAGATTAATTTTTCGTTTCTCATATCACTCTCATATCCCGGCCGGGTCAGTTTTTGTTACAGCTGATTTCATAATATACGGAACACCTAATAGTTACCGAGAGACAACTAGGTACATTCGGTAAAACTCGGTAAAGTTCAGAATAAGGTAAAACCATATTGTTAGATAGAGCACTGGTCCGAGCTACAGTGGTGTAGTTTTTATTTATTCTGAGTTATACCGAATCTTACCGAGTTTCTCTGAGTAAAAATGGGTGTAAATTTCAAAAAAAAAATTTTATATTATTATTTATACCGGGTAAGATTTTTTAAAAGTTAAAAAAAAAAAAATTTTCATATGAATTTTACATATAAAATTTTTTGAAAAAAAATTAAAAGTCGGGTTGCCGGGTCATTTTCAAAATTGTTATGTTATGAGAACCGAAAAATTAAGTTTTACCTGACCTAATTTAGCTAATTTTAAACCTATTGTAAAAATAAATTATACTTTAATACATAAAATTTTTTGAAATTTCAAGTACGTTATTGCGCATGAACGTGATAACGTGATAGTTCCAATCATTTCTCGTGATAGTTTTTAAATTTATTCAATTCCGGATATGACTAATTATTATTTTATAAAAAGCATAAAAAAGACGAGATTAATGTATATAAAATTTTGCTTTACTCTGATATTCATTATTTTGATATTAAATATTTAGAAATTTTTAATGATTGTATTAAGATCAGTAATCTCGTTTATAGTTACACTCCCGCGCAAAAAGTTTAAGGACCACCCGGTAAATTGTAGAAAAATGGCTTTTTCTAATAAATCAATATTTTTTAATAAGCCGTAAAAAATTATGCATAATGACTTTAATAAATAAAGAATAATTTTTTTATTATTACTTGAAAATAAAAAAACATTTATTTTTATTTTTATTTTTAAAAACCACGTGAACAAGATTACAGAAAGATAGACAAGAACAAAAGATAAAACAAAAGTCGAACGCTATCTAATACTAAGCTATAATCAAACCGCCCTAGGACAGCGCCACTCTGGTACTTTTAACTAACTTGGAGGAGTCCCTAACATGACATCACATCCCAATTTACCAAAGTAAAGGCAATCTAAACATAGACCCTTATTTTTCTTTCGGTCGAAAAGACCGCCACCTGTTAATACTGTAAGAGGTGGAATGGTTCACACTATTCTTATTGTTGTACGTTGTTAAAAAGGTGTACGTGGGGGTTACCCAAAAAAAAAAAAGATGTATAAAAATACTAGTCAAAAAAAGTAAAAAAAAGTGGCTAGGTATAACGCAAACTATGACTATCAGCGTGCCACTAAAAAAAAGATAAGCTGATAGGTGATCTAAAAATTGTTAAAGTGAGGCGGAGACTTTAAAGTCTGCTGAAGAGAGAATATCTAGTCTCAATTTTTTGATGTGGGTGGTGTGCCTGTCTGCATTTATAGTCGAGACAGGAGGACGTTTATGTGGTCTGATTTCAAGTTGTTTCGCATCATCGGATGTATGTCCTTTATAACGATAATGGGAGGCATCAATGTTCATGACTGAGAAATAGTCGATATTAAAACGACCAAGCTCCTGTTCTAACTGGAGTAATTGTTTGTTAGTTTTGAAAATGTTTTTTCCCTGTTTATGCCTGTTCTCTAGATCAGCACGACGCTCAATCAGAGGTGAGATTTTCTTGTGATAATGATCCTGGAAATTGGTGAGGTCTTTTGTCATATCTTCACGATATTCTATACGGTTGATAGAGGTACCCCAGAGTTGAGCTCTGGCATAAAGTTCTTTTTCAATATTGAGGCGAGCATTATCATATGCTTCTTGATCTTTTTGTTGACGTAAAGCTAATTCATGAGCTTTTTTACGTTTTTTAATACCATCTAACCAATACGCACAGCCTGGCGTAAAATGTTGACCTTTGAGTTTGGCCTGTCTTTTAGAAATATAAACAGGTTCTTCGGTTACGTAAGGAAGGAGACTGTTAGGAATCCAAATACCCAGCTTGTCGTGCCAAATGTTCTCATCTTCGACGGGAACGGGTTGTGAATTGGTGGCAGGCGAGCTAGTACTTGTCGTACTAATTGAATCGTCCCTTGGATAACGTGGAGCGGGTCGGCGGAACGGGTTATGGTAATTCACATGTTGTATAGGTCTGTTAATATGCTGTGAAGGTAAAAATAGAAAACGGTGTTGTCTAGCACGCTGAAGTTTTTCTTCAAGACTATCCACACGTCTCTGTGACTTTTTGTTATTACCACGATTGTAGAAAACCGATCTACATGCCCGCTGAAAGCGGGATTTTTGTTTGTTACTCCTTTTACTATTGTCGGAATGGTGTGAACGGAAATTATCTAACCATTTACGGTACATAAGGTGTTTCTTCTGCGTGTTGAAATGTTTATATTCGTTCGCTAAGTACGAGACATCATACGAAATGCCTAAGCGATTTGAGTAAACGTGTTTTTTCGTGCCATGTTTCCAGTTGAAATAAGTGCGCAATGCGTGAGCTTCTTTGTGGTTAATAGTGTCATTATGGGTCAATAACGGGGTGTGTTTCTTGACATTATGAAAAATGTCTAAATTTTTATGATGAGAAATGCAGGCTCGTCTATTATGAGACATAATGAAGGGAGAGGGGACACTACACAACTGTGTGTGTTCACTTCCAAAATTGTGAGTAATGGAGAAGTTACATGGTGTGAAAATACCAAAGTAAAAACGATAACGTTTATAAGAAAAATTAAAGAAAGTTTTTGTGCGGGAATTTCTTTGTGTGACTGTGTCAGCACGTGATTTGATAAGAAAATATCTATCAAGTAATTTGGAACGAATAAGATTAAAATATTTCTTTTGAATAGATCGGGGGATAACTTTTTGATGGGAAAAAAAAAGTTGTAACATCTTACTAATCTGGTATTTCAGATTAGGAAAGCTACAGGTGGAAGAGTAGCTAATAGGGGTCGATTTCATGTGATAATCATTTGTGTGTATTTTAAGATGAATATCATTGGTGTTTGTTGAGGGATCGACTAGCTCAAAAAAGAAACTTTTTGATCTCCTGATTTCATAAATCTTGTTACATCCAGCCCGTTTGGGTCTAGTCACGTGAAATTTGTGGAATGAGACATCGAAAGAAAATTTTCCCAAGGAAATATGTTTAGGAAAAAAAGAAGCCATATTTTTCAATATGTTGTATGGGTGTGAGATAAAAAAAATATTTTATTATAAAAACTTCTTTCAGAGGTCGGGTAATAAGGAGAAGAACCTTTCCATAAGAGGCCACCCAGTGGTCCTCTTTCTTCTCGAGCGTTAACAAACGTAAAAAAGGGTAAGTAAAAAAAAACAGTATTTAACTGCGGATTTCTATGTAAAAAAATGGAAAGGGGAAAGAGTTTTTCAAATAAATATATTTTTGAAAATAAAAAAACATTTATTATCGGTAATTTAGTATTAATGTTTTCGCGTAGTCACGTTGTTTGTATCACGTGATTCTTCAAGAGAAAAAATGTATAAAATTCTTTTTAAATAAAATTCTTATTATTTATTATTTACAACATAACAAAAGAAATTCCCAGCTTGTAACTTCATAAAATTTAAAACTACAATATCAATAAAGTTTTTTAATAAAATTGCTTAATTTTTGATGAAAATTATAAAAAAAAAATTAAAAATATAATAAAAACATTCCTCAGTACCTGGTGGGATAACCACGAGCTTTTATTACTGCTTCTATTCTACGATTCGTTAGAAAGAACAGTTTCTACCCTTCGTCGCCAAATCCACAAGTTGCAATGTGTGTATCTTTCCTACTATATTATTATTATTATATTATTCCAATATTAATTTGTTGTTGCTTGCTGTGATGCGGATTTCTTATCACAAATGTTCTTTATCATATAAATCATGCTCTCTACAAGCTTTTGGTAAAACCTCATGTGGATTTGCCCTAGGGATGGGATCGGTTCGTCGGTTCTATTTCGGGTCTTCGTCGGTTTAGCAAAATATGAGTTACATGCGTCAAATTTAAGACGCAGGTAGAGCATGCGATGAAGACCCTATAAAAAATTTTTATCCAAATATTTCCATTATTTCTCCGTGTCTTCCGTAAAAATTCCGTGAAAATGATACATTCACGGATATCCATGTTAGCGAGATGAAAATTTCCATGATTTAAGGTTATTAATTCCATGAAAATGATACATTCACGGAAAAAACATGGAAAGATAAAACACGGATCAGATTTTTTACAGGGAGATCGATTAGAAAATTTTTGATTGGTCATCAAACAATGGTTGGTCCGTGATCGTCATAATTTTGATGACAACCCGATTTGGAGCGAACCGGTTCGGAGCCAGTTCCGGTTCGATTTTTAGAACAGTTCCCCAGAGTGTTTCAAAGTTCAGAATCTGCTAAAATTAGAATCGGTTCCAGAACCGGTTTGGAACCGCTCTGTTTGGAACTTCCCTATCTCTACTGACTATGGGAATAAATTTATTCCCATTTCTTCTATAAAATTTCTTGTTCTTGCGCTTGTATTAATGGTGCATTATCTTGTTGGACCATTTTCTTTCTCAAAGTTCTTTAAAAATGGGAACACATGATAGTCCGGTATTTCTTCTATATATTTTGTGCTATCAACTCGACCATCAATTCTTAATCCAAACCATGAAAAACATCCACATTCCCCTCCATATTTCAAGACAATTAATGTTATATTTTTCCTCCTGGAAGCGCCAAACCCGAATTTTTCCATCATTTTGAAACATAGTAAATCAATAATCTGTGTTCCATAAACGTCTTTCACGAGCCCAATCTAAACGTATTTTTCACTAATATTAAGGGCTGTACAACTGTTACAGCATGTTTGTTTCATATTACGCCATACATAAATTAATTTCAGTAGATCCGTTAAAATTTTCTCATTTTTTTCCACAGGTTCACGCCGGTTTTTAGTAATAATTGCCGATTCGTCTAAAATCGGCACTGCGTTACTAATAAAATTCGGGGATAGTAGCGATAATAAAAAAAAGCGTTTTTCACATCTCACGCGCGGAATACAGTAGATTTCCACCCATTTCACAAACAGAAGTACCATAAACTTTTACCTGGTTCTAATAATAAAAAATATTTCAAAAAAGTCTTTTAAAAACAACTAAAGTTATATGTTTCTAATGTAAATAACGCAAAATAGAAAAATAAAATAATAAAATATTGAAATTTCCTATATTTTAAGGTATAAATCTGACGCGCGTACATAGTAAACTCATTATTTTGCATATGAACATAAAATTTTTTTTTTTGCAAATTCTTTTTTTTTCAAGTATTTGTTTTTTCAGTATATCATATGATTTTTATTTATATTTAATATGTCGTCTATGAAATATCTTTTTTTGATTGTGTTCTAGCACAAAATCGGAAATTTAAGGTGTCGTTTATCCTGTTCAGTCAACTTTTTTGGGCGTACACTTCGGGGAGCAACGGTAATAGCACCTTTTTTCACGATATTTTGTTATTATAGTAGTTTTACCATAGCCTGTTTTTTTCTGAAATGGTCCGTTCAGAGTTACCAGCTAGTAAAAACCAATAACTTTTCCACGCTCAAAATCCATTGGTTCTCTTTTTTTAACCATCTTTGCGTTTAAAATGAAGCTAAAATTTTGTGTAATAAACATTACTAATTTATGACATAATAAATAGTTTTCGTTTAAATCACAATCATTACTGTTTGGGTAATGTTTATGCAGATCTTGATGGTTGGTTGTAAACCTTTTGCGCGGTAAATCCTGAATATGCTAAATTGGTTAAAAACTTGTTTGATCTAAGTAAATTCTCAAGGTTATAGGTTATATATTTTTAAAAAGTGAAATTGTTCAAACAAATAAAAGTACACCAATTTTCTTTCATAACGATTAACTTTGTATAATTAAACCCAAACCAAAATCGGACAAAAACTTTATTATTTTTAGAAAAAGAAATGACAAAAATTGGAGTAATATATAAAGTTTCAAAAAAGAAACATCTCGAGCCCTAACCTATTAAAATGAGAGTTCCATTTCATTACGCCATATCGCTATCTTGGTTATTGCTATCTATTCACAAACCAATTTCATCTAATGTACTAATATAATTTCGTAAAATCCTTAAACTTTAGTCTTCTTAATTCCTCCAAGTGCACGAATCTCCATTGCTCCCAAACAGTTAAGTTGTTACCTTTGAAAGATATTAGACCCGAACCTGCAAGAGAAATATGAGTGCATTAATGGATTATTTTTACATCATCCTTACCAGAAGAACTAACATTAAGGTATAATTAAGTAAAAATTTTCCTTTCTTAAACTTTTTTATTATTAAATGGATTTATTTTATTACATTAAAAAATAATATAATTAGATTAATTATTGTAGTATAAAAAACAGGTGATGTGTTTTTCCTATTTTGTACTTTCTGTGCGTTATTCTACAATTCTTTAAAAGTTAATTTTGTTATTTGTTCCCATGAAAATTCTCGAGTTTGGGAAGAAAAAAGAGAAAATTCCTTATCAACGTTATATACTCTCACCAATTCTATCGGAAGAGAATGAATCTAATAACGCCGAAGGAACGTAGATTCTTAAAATTAGAAGAAGTGATACCGAAAGTTGAGGAATTGAAGAGTATATTCAAAAAGTGCGGAGAAGAAATGGAATGGGAAGCGATAAAAGAGAATTTGAGGATGATCGTAATTCAATATCGTCAAAATTTTACGACGTTAAATAATGATTTCACAAAAAAAGTTAAGGAGGAGGAACAGTGAAATATATGAAAGAATATAAATGAAAAGAGGGCGAGTATCAGAAAAGATGGAGAGTGGAACGAGAATAGAGTAGATCGACCAATCCTAAGTTGAAGTCACGTGATTTACGTTATAAAAGATTTCCAACAATTTGTTTTTTGGAGTTTTAATGGGATACAGCCACCGGTAACCGCCGGAATTCAAAAAAAGGAAATTTAACAATGTAGTTATTGTTGTAATTTTATTTTTTGATTTCGCAGATCACAATATCACAAATTGTATAAAAAATGAGTAACTGTAACTATTAGCTATAGAGAACTTTAAATTTAGTCACAGGATTAGAAAGCAGGGGTCGAGTTTAGTTTTGGGATTTTGGGAAATATTGTTATCTAACACGCTATCACAGGTAGTGTATATATAATGACACCATCTAGAATTAGGCTCTTTTTGGATTTGCTGCTAAATTTTCGCGAGTAGTTAGGTTTGCTTATTTTAAATGTAGCTTGTAGCTTTCCTATCTATAACTCACTAATTTAATTTGATAATATATTATTAGTTTAGTTTTTTTTTGTTTTTTTTTCTCTTTGTTTCTTTTAGTTTATGGCATTTTGTTTGGTTTATATTTTAGATAGACACTTTATTGACTACATGAACAAAACGTAATTCTTTGCGTGTATATGGCGGTATTACGTTACCATGAACTGATCTTACTAATGGTTTTAACAAAAAAAAAAAAAGTTCTCGAGTTGGGATCATCAAATATTCTTTTTTGGTTGGATCTGCCTATTTCTCGATTTCTCGATTGGATTTTAGATTATTCGCCCCACCTTCATAATTTGGTGAAAGTTCAGAATAAAAATGACATCAAAGGCTTGTCTTTGCGCATAGTCCACCTTCGTTTTGTTAAAATGTATAAGCACTTGTTAGGACCAACTAGAAAAAATGCAAAATAAAATTTTTAAATTGATTAAAAAATTTTTATCAAAATAAAGTATTGATTGAATTGTTTTTCGATATTTGTCTTTCTTTTTTAGATTAGTCAAATATTTTCACCACAATCTTTTTTTTTCATCAATTCAAAACTTTTTTTACTAGGTTAAAATAAGAAAATGATTATTAATCACTTTTATTAAGAATTACAAAATCAATTGTAAATTTTGTAAATTGTAAATGGTGATCTGCAAATTCGCATTCATTTTTTTTTTAAAAAAAAAGCAAAAAGAATTATTTAAAAATTATTAATTATTAAGGACGAAGTTCATTTTGATTCTATTTTTCTTTTTAATTAAATTATTTATGAAGTAAAATCAAAAATGAAAATCCCATTTCCTTTTTTATTTTAAGATTTTTTTTTTTTGATTTTTTTTTTTTTAAAAAAAAGGTGCTTTTTTACAAAAAGAGAAAAAAGATAAATCAAAAAAGGTAAAACCATTTCCTTTTTTATTTTAAAAAAAAAACGAAAAAAATTTTTTTTTTACATAAAGAGAAAATGGGTAAATCAAAAATGGAAACTATTTCCTTTTTTATTTTCATAAAAAATGTTGGTTTTTGCTATACTAACATATATGTAAAATTATCTGAGTGACTTTTCATCCAAATTTGGATTT